GGGGGGGGGGGAGAAGCTTGTGCTAATATCTAGCCAACAAGGCTGACACTTCATGGCAATGGGTTTATAGAAGCTGAAGAGGAAAGGGGGTATGGAGAATCTGATCTGAGTTCCCTTGATGTATCAAACTGTATTGGATTGTATTAAAATGTTGCAGCATTGCACCAAGCAGGATAACTGTTGAACTGATAAATCTTCCTATTAAGTATAGGAACTAAGATCAACATGAAACAATAGAAACTATAGAAAAGGTGGGGGAAAGTTAAAGTTAAATCTGCATGTCTGAAACAACGGTTACATCTAATCAGTGAAAAGGAATGCATTAGCATCACTTTTAGTGAAAAACTAAATCATCATCAAGGATAATGATAGGATTTGGGGGGATATTCTACTCCAAATTATTGCAGCAGGTAACTAAGCTAAACAGAAAAGGCCCAATCAAAATTTATTTTAAGATTCGCACATACTTATGACATTGTACTTGTGGTTAGTCCAGTTTGCTAGGTCTCAGTGCTTGTTTATATATCTAAGTGATAAATATCTTTGTTTCCTGGACTATTATTACTTTGAGCTCCAGGACAGCATTCCAGATCCTTCTAGATTAGAAGACTGTTTGTAAACTTGTATACAACAGAGAATTCAGAAGGAAAAAACCCTGAGTGTACAGTGCAAGTAAGCAGTCTTGCCCCCCACCCTGTCCTGTAAATCCTGTAAAGAAACAGAAAGACTATAGGCAATGGGTTGCTGGATTTTTTTGTAAAGGACTTTACATCCTCTGCTCTTTTCCATGTGCTGCACAAACCCGCAGTCAGCCTTGTTAAGCACCAGCATCCATTTAGATGAGTCACATGATGCCTGCATGTTTTCCACTGAGTCGAAAAACTCATTTGCAGCGCGGCCTCTCTATGGGAAAGATCCAAAAACATCAGGGAAGAAGGAGGAGAAGAAAGATTTGCTAAGTTGGAGAAGCCTCTATTATTGTTGTTATTAATCGATTTATATATCACCCTAAAAACTGGGATTTAAGGCAGTTTACTTCTCCATCTTTCACAAAGCAAGAAAAATAAATATTTTTGCTTTTAAAGGCAATGCTTTGTATGCAATCAAGTGCACAGCCCCAAACTGGACCCTAACGATTCCAACGAGGAGGTCAATAATTCATTTAATGTTAATTGTACTATCTAATTTGCTGGCGTTCTGTGTGTCTAATGTACATGTATGTCTGAAGTACTCACAGGGAGAGTAAGAAATCAGGGATAAAAAATATTCAAATGGATTACTGTTTTAAGCATCTACAACAGGGGTAGGCAACCTTTTTGAGCCGGGGGCGGGGTTGCTGTCCCT